CATCATCAAACTTTACACCTATTCCGGACAGCTGGTCAAGAACACCCTGAAAATCATTAATATGATCAGAGATAGGAGTGACCTCTTTATACCTGATATTCATTAATTGTTTCAATAGGAATAACTTGTTGTTGCCAGTCTTCGAAGCATAAAGTGTCTCGAGCTTGTCCCACAAACTTTTGGCATGTGTCTCATTCACAATATGATTTCTAACATTATCTTCAACCCATTGTCTAATATAGCCACAAACCTGCAAATGATCAAATTCCCATTCTTCATCATTCAAAGACTGAGGCTTATTAGAAGCAAACACAGGTAAATGCATCTTCTTGACAAATAGAAGATCTTTCATCTTGCCTTTCCAAATATGATAGCTACTACCATTTAAACACACAATTTTGCTTATATTTGCCTCCATCATTCAAAACGACAATAAACAATAACCAATGCTCTGATACCACTTTGTTGGGAAAGACAAGGCACTAACAAAGAATGCCTGACAGGATAACAGCGGAAGAATACCCAAGTCTATACTTTCCCTTTTCAATTTGAACCAATAGAAGACAAACAACCACAAGCAATATGATAGTAAGACAGCAAGTAATTCAATCAAACAAATATAACAAGGCAATGATAAACCAATCACACAAGACACCAAGATTTACGTGGAAAACCCTTCGATGTGAAGAGTAAAAAACCACGGGACCAAAAGCTCCACTATAATAACCAAAATTTACAATATTGTTCTCCAAAATTGGCCACAAAACAAGTGTCAAACAATGAGCAACAACAAAATAAGATTGCACCAAATCTAGAGAATTGAAGGAGCAAAATCACCAATTTCGCAGCTACTATTCACGACAGAAAAACTGAAGCTTCAGGCCACCAAATCCAACTCTGTCAGTTCCTAATCAAAGATTCAGATGAAGATAATATGCTGTCCAAAAATCAGCTCAATCGGACAAGAAACGAAGCGGGAATCGCAATTTGAAGTTGGTTGTTAGGGCTGAATTTTGACTGTGAAAATCTGCTCTTTTTCTCTCTTTTTGGCTGCTAAAAAACTCTCTGTGTATTTGAAAATAAGATCTAAATAGGCTTATATTTTCCTCATAAGAATGGGCCTATGGGCAAAAATGGGTTGGTCCAAATTGGGCTTTTATTTATCCACATAGGAAGGGAAAAAAACCCATAACCCAACAATTTCCATCCCATGGTAACAAAACCCAGTGTGCCGTGCAGAGTGTAAAAGGTCATGCATGATAATAAATCCTTGAAGAGGTAACACTTTTTTTTCCTTAACCGACAATGTTAATGGAGAATTTTCTGGAAATCGCCAGCAACAACACTAAGAAGGATATAGAGACTTGTGGAGTTCTTGGTGCCATCATTGTAAGATCACCAGTATTCATTTTGCTTTCTGGAATGATACTTTTAAGACAATCGTTGAATGATGAGGAACACCAAGTGCTCTAGATTTTGCATTTTAAATGACTGGTTATGGAAATTAAAGTGATGCATTGTACCTTTTGGGGTGGCCGTGTGGCTTGGGTTTGGGACTTCCATGTTGGAAGTCTCAAGTTTGAAACCCCTTTTCCAAAGAAAGCAAGGGGTTTGCCTTCTAGGTCAAGTTCATTACAGTAGGCGTGTCTGTGCGGATTACCTCTCTTGTGTGGTTTGCGAGCTATTGCATAAGATTGGGAGTTTTACCCTATGCTCACCCAGAGAGTAGCGGTTGTGTAAATTTGTTCCATTTGAAGTAGTATTGGTCTTTTGAGCTAAAGGCTACTGGAGTTCTCCATCTCTGCTTGATTATCTCATCTTTAAAACTCATTCTAGCGCTGAATAAAACTGTGTTTAGTTCTGATACTTGTATTATTAGGACACAAATTTTGATTGTTCTTTTGAAATGTACTTCTATTGGCTAACTTTCTTCGTAGTAAGAAACTGGTTTTTAAGTTGGACATATTTAAGTACACCAATTTATTTTCTCAGTATAGACAATGCTTTATCTTCTTTTATTCCTTTACTGCTATTGAAGTTTAAAATCCCAAAAGTACTTATATTATATGATCAATTCCTAGATGATATTTAGATAACCTATGCACTTTCTGCTAACCTTCTGCTTCTCCAAAGTACTCAAGTACTGATGATGTTGGATTTTTGAGTGACTTGTTGTAATTGCTAATACTAATCCCACAAGTTAAAGGGAGTGATAGTAGAGATTACTGTTAGAATATATGCGTCCACTTATCAGTCAATGGACCAGGTCCCTTGACACACAAACAAGTATGAACAGAATGTAAATGCAGTTTAACAACACAACAATTTTACGTGGAAACCTCCTTGCTTAAGAGAGTAAAACCACGACCTGTCTCACAGGATTTTCACAACTGTTTCACTAATCTTTGCAAGCAAAAGTAAAACCAGTTACACAAATGTGAGAAAAAAATTTTAATCTCATATTCAAGCAATGACTCTATTGCTTGATAAGCCCAAGTAGAAGCTATTCTACCCACTATGCTATCCCTTCTAGACAACTTAGAATTTCAACAACACCACACTGATTCCTTTATATATTTAGGAACAGTTTACAATAGAAGAACAAAAGAATATATTCTCAAACAACTACACGATTTGCTGCTGAGTTTTTCAGTTGTTATTTGAATAATTCTTCACTTTTATTTTCTATAGACATTGGTTGGAAAGGTCTCACTTTTCTGACGTCGTTGGGAAATGTGCACCCACTTTCTGTACCTTCTCCAGATGGCAGTCAACAGGCTATTCATGTTGGGAATGTGGTACCTTTACAAGGTCCCTGATTTTGTCACATCATCAAAACTCATGTTGGAAACCTGATGCCTTTAATAGGTCCCTGAGTTTGTCATACCATCAAACTACAAATAACATTTTCCCCCTTTATGATGATGACAAACAATACTCAGGCACCACTCCAGCTTCATAACTAGTTCCCCCTGAATTACTAGTCCATCCTCTTGAAAAGAAATGCTCCCTCTCACTGTATTCCCCCTCACAAACATGTCTACCACTTATGAGTTATAATTCCCCCTTTTGGAATCATAAAAAAGAGATACATTAAACCAATAGTATCAACAATAATATCAGAGAAGACCAAAGCTTGATAGCAATCAAACACAAAGGAAAGCATTCACAAGAGATAGTAACTAGAACACCAAGGGGAATAAAATAAATAGCATTCCAAGATAAACATTTAATACATTAATATCAAACTGAGAATCCAATGACAAAAAGACAAGCCACACAAGGAAGACACAGAAAAAGATTGGGACAGACTAAGAAGGAGGAGGCTGATGGAAAGGGACTGAATAATGAGAGTGAGTCTATCATTTGCAGCATCATTATTCTTTATTTCCTTTTCTTGCAAAGCAATAACCTTGGCCCTCAGCTCTGCATTTTCCCTTTCCAAGGCTTGAACCACAGAAGTACCAGGTCCCTCTGTCTATGCAGTGAGCAGTTCAGCTTTGAGTATAGCAATTTTAGCATCTAAACCACTCAATCACATAGTTAATTCTTCAACTTCATGCTTGAGTTGGTCCTGGTCTTCTATGACTTGAGCCATTTTGCTCTTGGGATTTCCTTTCCCTTCTATACACTCACATTCAACCAGAGTATTCACTGAAAAAGCTTCCTTCACTGTACCAACCTTGCCAACGCTCAGAGGAATGTTAAAGTATTTGAATACTTCAGTAAGAAAGTATCCATATCCCATTTCATGTATTCCTTTCCTCTCAATAACAGTCTTGTACATGTGTTCAAGCATGAGCCCTGTAAGATTCAGAGGTTCAAATTTGCACAACAACTCCATCACAAACAAATCAGCAGAAGTAGCTGAGGTACTCTTTTCAGGTCGAGGAAGTAGAGATTTGTTTACAAACTCAAACACCAACTGATACTCACTTTTCATCACCTTCTTAAAAAACCCTGCACACTTTGTTGTGGGAAGCTTCGAGACAAATGCCACAAACTAAGCCGAACAAGTCTTCCAAATCACAGACCTGGTACCCTCTCGAGGTACCTTAAGAATTTTTCCTAATAGAAACTCATCCAGATGCACTGCAATATCATTCACTCTGGTAAGGACACTCCCATTTTCCTTAAATTGAATGTTGTAATAAAATTCACACACATTCTCTTCATGAAGAATAGGAGATTTTCTGTTGAAGAGATGCATCCATGACTGAATCTGCACCATGTCATGTAGAGAGTCCATTCCGGGAAGGTTGATTATTCCCATGTCAAAGACTCTCCCAGCCAGCACAGACCGCTTTCTCAAGTTGTCAACAATTTCTTGTTTGTTGACCTCCTCTTCAACTTTTCTTTGGGTACCAGGTCCTTGTAATCTTTTCAATTTTCCTTTAGAAATCTCCTTCATGGATTCTGCTTTCTCAACCCTTTTTGGTTTTGGATTTCTTGACTTTGTTGTTCCTGACTTTTTCTTTTTGTGCTTCTTTTTTGTCTCTTCAGCAGACACCTCTATGACACGAGATTCAGGGATTTTAAAGTTTGACACTTTGAATGTTCTGGCACTCCTCATTTCTGCCGTAGACCTTGCACTAGACTTCAATGCATCATCCAGGCAGCATCAGATTTAGTAGTAGGTCTTCTTCTAGGAACCTCTTCCACTACCTTTTCTTTTCCCTTTCTTGATCCAATAACATCACTCCTTTCAACCTTCCATTGGATAGATTCATCATCACTTTCAGAATCAGAGGAGTTAGAAGATGGATACCTCCCAAAATCTAGATTTTTATCAAAAATGGGTTGAGTCTCTCTGATCTCTTCACCTTGAAAAGGTTCATTTTGTTCTACCCTGGCTTCTTCTCTCATCATTGCAGGTGTTCAGTGACCAGCTCTTCACTTGTAGCTAGAATGTTTGACTCAAAAGATTTGTTTCTTGGCAAATCTCCTTCAAATAAAGCTGTTCAGATCCATGGATTGAAATGGATTTTCAGGAATATCTTTGTGAGAACTTGAAGGAACATTGGACCTAGAATCTACTGCTGAAGGAGAATAAAAAGCAATAGGTTCAATCTCACTAAGAGCAGTGAGCATTTGCTTAGAGGTTGAAGAAGGATCAGACATCTTGACCAGAAGAAGAGAAAAATAGCAGCTTTTCAAAGACAAAGAAAAGGGGATAAAACCAGATTTCGTCTTTTCTCTTCTTTCTTTTTCTTTTAGAGTGAAGGATTGTTGAGAGATAGATTAAGAATTAAACGGAAAGAGGTAAGGCTTGAAAAGATTTGAAACGGTTTCAGGTCCCTTGATTTGACGTGTCGCTTGAAGAATAAGCGACGGGACTAACGGTCAGAATGACCGATGACTGACACGTGGCTTTATCAACGGTCATATTTTTTCCATTTTAAAATTAACGTAAATATGATAACCTTGATTGGGACCAGGTCCCATAACACAGCTTTATCATCATTCCTCAACTGTTCTAGCCATGTCTTTGCTTAGCTATTCCTTCCTGAATGTATACCTACAATAGGTACAAAAATGATCTAATCTAGATAGTAAATTATTGACACAAAGGATACCTGCATTGCAAGTTTAGCCATAAAAGGAATTCAACTGTTGAAACTCTGGAAATCAGTTAGAGGTCATCATGCCCAACTTCAACCTATTACTTTCAAATTGATCTTTGCAGAGAGCTTTGGTGAAGATATCTGCAATTTGTTCCTCTGTTGCACAATATTCCCTTTTTCAACATTATCTCTCAAAAAGTGATGTCTAACATCAATGTGCTTCGTTCTCTTGTGTTGAACTAGATTCTTTCTCATACTAACTGCACTAGTATTGTCACACATAAGAGGAATGGCTTTGATGATTACACCAAAATCCTCTAAATGTTGCTTGATCCATAACAATTGTGAACAACATGTAGCACCTGCTACATATTCAGCTTCAACTATTGAAAGATCTACAAAATTCTGTTTCTTAGTTCCCCAAGAAATGAGTGAAGATCCAAGGAAATGAGCCATTCCAGAAGTACTTTTCCTGTCAACTTGATAACCAGCAAAATCTGCATCTGCAAAACCAACTAGATCAAAAGTGTCACCTGCTGGATAGAAGAGGTTCAGGTCCCCTGTCTTCTTCAAGTATCTTAGAATGCGTTTTGCAGCCTTCAGATGTGAATCGCGAGGACATGCTTGAAAACTAGCACACATTCCAACACTGTATACAACATCAGGTCTGCTAGAAGTAAAATACAATAAGGACCCAATGATTCCCCTATACAGGGTTTGATTCACAAAAGAATCAGATTCATCTGCTATAAGCTTGGAGTTTGTTCCTACAGGAGTATCAATAGGTTTTGAATCAAACATATTGAATTTCTTCAACAGCTCCTT